TTTCTACATTAATGAAGCCAAGAGTTCCGTTAACTGCTCAAAATATCATTTCATATGTTTACACTTGAAAACTACCCACCCATGTACCCGAAGAGAGGCTCGTATTTACAAGAGTGACACGATTTTAGTCCATGTAGTTGGTCCAAATATAAATGCATGTTTGTTGTGCTTAAAAGTTGCTTTCTTGAAACAAAGTTAAGACTAGGGATGTTAAGTGGGATGACCTCGGAGCCAGCTCGCAAGCCCCACCTTGAGGCGAGCCAGTGGGCACGAACCGATCTGCATTTCCTTCAAGCGAGCCGAGCAACTTAACTTACTTTTTGGAAAATTTATGATAGTAAGAATAAAATCATTCTGAAACTTGTGTTTGGCAAAATTAGTTACTTATTAACATGGTCAAACATGCTTCTTAGATTTCCTGTACATCTTCCCTTGTAGTTTGTGCTCTTTAGATGTTATAAGTGAAGGGATGTTACGTAGAAAATGTTATGACTTGTCAAAGTAGGCAGTTTAAAATTAGTATTTCGAGAATTTCGATAACATGCTAACTTTAAAAATTCTCCAACAATCGTACGGTAGTCGAATCTACAAATCGCTTATATTATCTCAAAACTCGTTTCGAGGACTACATTATAGGCATATCGAATAGTTCAAACAGATATCGAAAATAGTTAAAGATGCGTCAAACGTATATCTTAAAAAAAAGGCGTCTAACTCGCATTTTTTAAAAAATTTAATTATCTCATTAACATTTATATTTTTGTGATACAAATTTCTCAATCTAATTTGCATTATTTTATTAAGAAATTTATATGGGATATGACATCAAAAAATTTCGAAATTTTACATCCGAAAAAGTCATATTATATATAAATTTTCGGATACAAAATTACATGGGGTATGATTTTTTTGGATGTAAATTTTTGTTTGTAAAATTTCTCCTGCCCCCCTAACTTTAATTGTCTGCGTCCGCCCCTGACCTAGAGCATATTATTTCATTTATTCAGTAACAGAGTTCATTCTCCAGCAGGGGAAAAACATTGGCACAAAACAAGGGAAATTACCGGGGAAAAATATTTTTGAAAGGGAGGAGGGGTCTAAAGATTTTTTACAAATGCTTGCAGAGTAATAGTAATTCTCATTTACATGCAAAAGCCTGTCCCTTTATTCTGTTTCACCTTTCTGCCTCCACCGATATCAGAAGCATATGAAAATTTTTGACCAAAATGAACTCTTCAATCTTACCTGAAAATATGAAAAGTTTAGTTTACAATGGTGTAGAATTCGTTGTGAACGGACAAAAAGAAAGACCCCGAGATTGGATCATCCGATCATATATGTAATAATTTTAAAAATTAGTTATTTTCAATAAATAAAAAAATGCTTACAGTTTCCACGTTTGTTGTCTGATCCTTGAATTGTGTCATATCATCTGCTGCGTTCCATTTGTGTTTCTTATTGTCTATTTCAGTCCAGACGAGAGAACTTATGCCAGTTGAGACCGTCGCATTTTGCTCTTCCTTCTGACTTGTTTTCCCAATATCAAAACTCGGCCTTTTGGCAACTTCCAATTCTTGTATAGTTTCCTTTGAGTCTAGAAACTGCCTCTGATCATGGTTTTTCTCCTCGCTTCTTGCCTGATTGTCATCAATTTGAATCCACTTTGAAATGTCGATTGAGAAACATGCATCACTAGATTGGTAACTCTGAACTATCATATCATCAGAAACCAAGATTGATTGATCTAAAGATTGAATTTGCTTTTGAATAAAGTCACTATTTACACTCTGTGTTAACTTCATTTTTCCCTGGATGTGCAGATGGAATAGGTGTAGTATGGTATTGAGTGCATATAAATGCCACAAGTATTTTCTCTGTTTTTATCATGATATCAGCTGTTATTGTTGTTGTAAGAATTTTAAATACCCTAAGAACAGATGGAATAATGATCATTTCATGTCAACAATTATCCATGTGTCAAGCTTTTTCCGATTGCACCAAGAAACTCTCAAACAAAGAACTGACCAGCTTGAAATTGGCTCTTCCCAGATGTCAACCCAAATTATGACCAGGTCTTCCAGCTGGCCTAAAAACCATCGTTTGGATATTATGTAGACTTTAATCTTGTTATGATATGGTGTAGGTTCTGCCACTGGTGACCCTAGGACTACAAACACTACAAGAACCTATGGCTTTCCCGACCAACCAAAAATTAGTCATTCTTTTACCTACTACTTAAAATTCAATTCTTAATCGAGCATAACTTTGCCTATCAGTTTTTTCCTGACCAAATAGAACTAGCCAAAGAAACCCATCTTTGCCGACTAATGTTTTCCCTGCCAACATAAATTAGCCACTGAAAACAACATTTATCGACTAAAAATATTACTACTCGGCATAGACTATATATATTTGCCGACCATATGAAATGAGTCCATGAATATCTTATCTTTTGGCCCAATACTTCGGCGGAAGATTTAGCGTATTAACATTTACTGACAAAGATACAATAGTAGTCGACCTAGACTATACATATTTGCCAACCTCTTTGAATTGGTTGGTAAATATCTTATTTTTGGCCCAACATTTTCGAGCCAAGATAAATATTAGTCGACAAAAATGAGGTACAATTGCTGATTACATGAAATGGGTCGGTAAATATTTCTACATTTACTAACCAAAATAAATTCTAATCGGCCTAGATGAGCCATAATTGCCGACCAGCTGAAATGGGTCGGTAAATATCTCATTTTAAGCTAAATTCCTGGCGGGGGACCCAACATATTCTCATAATTTTTAGACCTAAAAACATTGGTTAGGTCCATAATTTCATGCCGTCTTGTCCATTTCTTCAAGCTGTCGGTGTCATTCTTAATTTTCGGTTTTGTCTCTCCACTTTCGTCATCTCCTTGCATCTCTGTAAGTTCACTTCGTCTTTTCGTTCCTATCTTTGCATCTCCATATGAATTATTGGGCCCTTTTTGAACCTTCAAGGGGCAATTTTACCCCTTGGTTAGTGAAAAATCCAAAGGAGGAATAGGATATTGGTGGAAGGTGGTTGCCGATGGTGCCAATAGTGGTGTTTTGATGGTGGTGGGGAGTGAGTTTGAGTGGGTGAATGATGTTTTGGAGGGAGGGAGAGGGGTCTGTAGCAATATTTTTTGGTTCCGTTGAAAAGCTTAATTGATTGTGTGGTTTCTAAAGTCACTCTGGTTTTGAGTGTGACACTTTTATTACTTTTGCCTAGGGATGGGCGCGGTTCGATTTGGATTGGTTTCGACCCCAACCCGAAACCAAAACCAAATTAGTCGGTTTGGAAAAATTTTAACCCAAACCAACCCACTCTAACTCTTAAACCGAACCAAACCAAACCGATTCGGTTTGGTTTGGTTCGATTCGGTTAATCGGTTTGAATTTAAAAAAAGAAAAAAAAAACTCTCGAGTTTTAGACTCATTTATAGTATATATAATTTTTTTTTTT